GTATGTACCTCGGTTACGACCAGGCTGTGGCCCTGCCGGCCATGCAGTCCGATGGCCAGGGTGGCCAGGAGGAGCTCTTCAAGGAGACTGCTTCAGCTTCAGCATCTGAGTTTCGTTCAACATGTAATGTGAACCCCAGCACCTTATATAGATCCACGCAAAGCCCCGGCAAGTGGACCTTTCGTTGCGCATGGCTCCAGTTTTGATCAGCAACATCCGCGCGCGCTCCGGAACGATCTGGCTTGTAACTGTCTGTTGTCGTCATTACTGCACCTCTTTGTGTGTGCTATCGCGAGTGTGGAGATGTTCATGCCAACACAAGCGTGCTACTGAAGTTTCAATCTCCATAAGTCTCACAACCCGTACTGAGCCCGCACAACCTCAAGACTTTGGATTGAGATAGCCATCTTCTTTCGAAGGAGACCAACAAGGTGTTCGACATCGGCAAGGGCGTCATCGAAATGGAGGTGAACAAGGCTAGCCCAACAACTAGGGATTCTGTAAGTGAACGGAAGAGAAGATTGAAGCTACAATTCGATTCAAATGCAAAAAAAGGTGGAACATACACTGAAACTAGGATAGACGATTGGGATAATTCTGGGAAGAATTATTTCATACTACGGACCGTAATTCCTGTATGTTTTCCCTATTTAGCCATAAACAAGGATAGATTACTGGGGTCTTGATCAATAAGACACCCTCGACCCCTCAACCCTAAACCCCAAACCGTGTCTTTGATTTCTTGGAGATTTGTAGCTTCAAAGTTCAAAGGTGGTCTGAACTCCCTAAACGGAGGTTCCATAGCGTTTAGGGTTTAAGGTCTAAACTCCTTAAAGGGTGTTATGTAGGGGATCATGCAGGGGACGGTAAGGGGGATACTAGGAGTTTAGACTATGGCTCAGGAAATCGTAAGAGTATGTCTGAGAATGAGTTAGGTTTCTGGATTGAGATTGATGGCACACTCCCCCAAACTAACATGGAAATCCATATAGCCCCAATTTAGAAGCACTGTAGTCTTTACAGGGCCCCTTTCGGGTTTCCATGTTAGTTTCCAGGAGTGTAGCTTTTTGAGACCCTAAACCCTAAACCCAGCTTCTAAGATTGCAGTTTGTAGTAGGGCCTGCGGTTGAGAATTCAGGTGAGGCGTCTTGTTTCGCTTCGATGGAAAAGCTCGGGAAATAGGATGATGAACTCACGGAAAATGGAAAAGATAATGGAAACTACTATAGGGCTTAGGGTTATATGGGGATAAGGAAACAGAAAACGGAAACTACTATAATGGGATTATAGAGGGTTTAGGGTTTATGGTAATCTGGGGAGAATTGAATCATATAGTATAACCCCAAAGTGTCAAACCCTAAACAGAAAATGGTGGGTTTGGGGTTGAGGGTTTGAAAATGATGTTTAGCAATAATCCTTATAGAAAAATGCTATAAGACTTCAATTTTCATAGGGCCTAAACCCTAAACCGCATGGCAGGTGAGCTCATATGAGATGCTGTGTTGACTTGTATGGCGGCAAGAAGGGTATTAAGACATGCCACCCTCCTACGAAAGATACAGGGAAGCCACCCCAAAAGAGTCATGCGTGTTTGTAAACCGTTCTGGCGTTTCGTTGGGAATGGAGGAATGGACCCGTACTGTGCAGTAGTCCCTATATACTCCGTACGGTAGTGACATATATGCCATATTGCGTAAGAAACGGCTACATCAGACGAACGCTATATGACTTTTACCAAAGCTCTAGACCCCTAAACCCTAAACCCTAAACCCTAAACCCTAAACCCTAAACCCTACAACCCCAAGCCCTACACTTCAGGTGAACCAGGAGTTGGGCGAGATTGGTGGCGTGTTCGTGTCCAAGCAGCCCTCCGACACTGACATGGGCGCCAAAGCTCCAAGGACGTTCAGAACAACGAACCCCAAACCCCCAAACCCTAAACCACCCCAAACCCAAAGCCCCAATTCTACACCCCAAACCCTGAACGCCCTAAACCCTGAAACCTGAACCCTAAACCCCAAAGCCTAAACCCTAAACCCTAAACCCTAAAGCCTAAATCCTAAACCCAAAGTCCCAATTCTAAACCCAAAGTCCCAATTCTAAACCCTCAGCCCTAAAGCCTAAGCCCGAAACCCCACCTCCAACTCCAAACCCTAAAGCCCCTTTGAGGCCTGGGTTCGGGGTCGAGCGTATCAGGTGACCTCAAACCCCTTGACCCTGAACTCAAGCCTCAACGGTCAGCAGCACTACATGAGCTATAGTCTACACTCCTTAGAGTGGGTATACAGGGTTTAGTTTTTAGGGTTTGGGGTTTAAGGTGTAGGCTTTAGGGTTTGGGGTTTAGTAGGCTTTTGGGTCTAAACTCCTGAAAGGGGGTTATATATAGAGGATTATATAGGGGACTACGATAGGGCTCGACCCCCAAATATTCTAATCCTCATATTGCGACCCTCAAAACGACCCCAAGTTGTGGGACACACTTACTAAACACGAGAGCCTGCCTTCCAGGCAGGCGAGTCATTCGCCAAACTAGGTTTGGGGTTCAGGGTTTGTAAAGAAACCCCAGTGTGTCGCCCCAAACCATGACCGCAAAAAATCACAGTTCCATGCAAGAGATGCGAAGCTAGATCCTAGTTTGCCGAGGCTCTTTTTGTTTGTGCGTTTGGCCAGGCGGGGGGGTCTGTGTAATGTAAAGGAATGGTCAAGTTTTGGATGTAGTGAACTTCAATTGGAGAATTGCCCATATGAGCAGGCTGTCAACATTATGCGTCCTACACATTCGGGTGTTCTATAAATGGGACCCAAAAAGGGACCGTAATCTTGTCAGCCTACCGACAGGTTGGAAAGAGTTTCCTGTGTTCACTGCTTCTGCAGGACCGTGCTTCTGAAGGGCATCTTCTACGGCAAGGTTGTGAACGCCTAGATTGAAGTTCTCCATGTACCTTGAGGGGAGCCCCTTTAATCCCATGTAAAACCCTAAACCTTCAACCCTAGACTCAAAACCCTAAACCCTGAACACTAAAGCTATGTATCCCTCCGGCCTCAAGGCTCCACAAAACCCTGGGGACAACATCTTATCCCTTCCCTTTACTACCCTAGAATTTAAGGGTCCAGGGTTTAGTGGTGGAAAAGAACATGTAGCTTAGGGCTACCCCGAACCCCCTTATGTCAGCATATTCTCACTTTTCTTTGGTATACCACATGGGAATATTCAAGATTAGCTGTTGAGAGGTTTTGACTTTGGCTTCTAGTGAATATCCTGACTATGGCACCAGTCTATCTTTAGTGGGGATACGGAATATTTATTAGTCGGTGATGGGGTGCAAACCCCAAACTCCCAACCTCAGCACGACGAAAGCCCGAATCCCAAACTCCGGAGCCCAAACTCCACAAACCCACAGCCCCCAGAACGGTATGACCACCAAGCCCTAAACTCCAAACCTCAAATCCCAAGCCCTAAACCCTAAAACCTAAGCCCTAAACTCAAAAACCTAAGTCCTAAATCCGAAGCCCTAAACTTTAATGACTAAACATTAAATCCCTCTACAACCCCAAGCCTCCACCCAGCTCCCGAGCGTGAGCCCAAAGCCGTAGAGAAGCCAGTTCATTTTCCTCCCGTGTGGGTGCCTGGCCAAGCCCAGAGATCATGATTAGCGTTTAGTGTTTACAGGGTTCTGAGGTCTATGGTATAGGGTTTAGGGTTTCAGGGGTTTAGAGGTTGAGAATTTTTCGGTTTAGGGTTTAGGGGAGGGTGGTACCTAAACTCTAAACCCTAAACCCTACATGGGGTTTAGGGCTATAGGGTTAAGGTTGTAGGGCCATGGCACGGATATATTGAGTTTCACAAAGCCTTCTACAGATTTCATGTAACTTTGCGAGAGAGGGTTTAGGGTTTAGGGTTGGTGTAAGGGTTGTGTGTGGAGGCCTGCATGATTAGAAGAGGGTGCTAATGTGCGCTAAACCAGAGCTTCGTAAGGAATGTAAGGATATCATATGGGCAAGTATTCAGGTTTCTAACCACCCTAAACCCTAAGCCCTACACCAGAAAACCCTGCAAACCTGGAAACCCACCCTAAACCCTGAACCCTAAACCCAGGGCAGCCAGGGGAACATAGAGCTCCATTTGCCAATCCCACAGAGCTTTCAAATTCCAAAGCTACCTACAACAGGAGGAACTATAGGGTTAAGGGTTAAGGGTTAAGGGTTTGGGGATCTAGGGTTTAGGTTTTGGGGTTTAGGGTTTGGGGCTTACATGAGGGTCGTAGAGATTTATGGGATTATGTAGGGTGTATGCAATTTCTAGGCAGCTCAATTTCAGTCTTTAAGAATGCATTTCCCGGCGACCTCTGTGTGACTTGGATTATGAGACCTTAAACCTTCCGCTAAAAACCCCCAACCCTAAACGTCTAAACCTTAAACCCTAAACCTTAAACCCTAAGCCCCTAAACCCCTAAACCTTAAATCCTAAACCCCTAAACCTTGAACCCTAAGATGAAGCCTGGCTTTGGTGTCGCCCACTGTCCGTTTAGGTCTCAGCACTGCGAAGTACGTCTCTAGCGATCATGTGCGGTCGCTTGCTGCGTCCAGTGCCAAGCCATCAAAAAGCCTTAGGGTATCCAGGGTTTAGGGTTTAGGGTTTAGGGCTTAGGGCTTAGGGTTTAGGGTTGAGGATTTTGACTTAGGGGTTCAGGGTTTAGGCTTAGGGTTCAAAAAGCATTATGCGGTGTGTCACTGTGGGAATGGCAAAGATCACGGGTTTAGGGAACCTATTAGGATCTAGGGGGAGCGCAAAGGGAAATGCTTTAATGTTGGAGTTTTGACCCCAAGCCCTAAACCCTCAAACCAATACAACCCCAAACCCTGATCCCTAAACCCTAAACCCTAACCCTAAACCCGAAACCCTAACCCCTACATAATTCCCTATACATTATACAACCCCTATTTAACCCCATATTATATCTATACACATACGCATAATACAGGAACCCGTTACTGAATGAAGGCAGGTGCCACTGGCAGGCCAGGGGTCCCTGGTTTAGGTTTTAGGGCTTAGGGTTTAGGGTTTAGGGTTTTAGGGCTTAGGGCTTAAAGTTTGGGGTTTAGGGTTCAAAGGGTTCCCATAGAGGGTTATATCGGGATATTTTTTATACATATATATATATATATCGTTGAGGGTTTGGGGATACTATACCCGACAATGGAGAATCACAACATGTAAATAGAAAAATGGAAGTTAAACTGAAGCTGGGTTTATGTAGGCTTTATAGAGAACAAAGTTTCCATAAGTAAGGGGTCCCTTGTTAGGGCACCCATAATAAGGACTATATTATATTGCAATCTTTTCTGGCCTCGCCATTCTAGAAACTCCCTTATCAAAGTATGCGTGTGCAGAATGAGTTCGTAGCACAGGGGATTACCCTAAACCCTAAACCCTAACCCCTAACCCAAAAAACCAGGGGATTACATGAAAGTCTGCGCTGCGGCTTCGGCTCCAGTTTTTACCTTGCCGGAAGGTGTGCCTTTTTAAACGACCATGACGCGCCGCTCCTTTGCCGTGCCCGTGGCCGCCGTGCTGGCGGTGGTTGGTGTTGGCAGCTGCTTCCTTACCGGCTTGCCCCATGGATCGCAGCTGCCCCGTGC